GTGTGTGTGTGTGTGTGTGTGTGTGTGTGTGTGTGTGTGTGTGTGTGAGACAGAGAGAGGGAGGGAACTTAGTGCTAAATTGATGAAAGGGCCAGTTTAGATGCTAAATGTAATCGTCATTTTGTTTTTTTTCTCAGTACTTATTGAGCCTGATTTGGTGATTGAATATGTAAATGAGTAGTGGTAAACGTGTCTTTGTCCTTTTGAAGCAGAGAGAATGGCATGTTACACTCATTTACCGCAGTAGGAAACAAGTTGTTAGCTATTTGTGTTCGCCAAGCGTTGGTGACTCAACCGATCTAATCTGGGGTCTGCTGCAGCTATTTATTGACACCAGAAGAAAGGTATTTCTTCTGACGCAGAGTCAACCAATATTCTTTGGTTCTTACTTGGTTCATACCTGGATGACAGTGTTTCATGTGTTTTGGAGCACTTTAAAGAGGACCAATGATCCTCTTTATCTCTGGAAGATCATGGCATACGATCAAAAGCTCTAGAAGAGCTACTGAGCTACTTTGAAGTGAGATTGTTGTCAACTGGTGTCAAGAATGAACTTTAAATCTCAAGATTTTCACAGTTATCTGAAATGAAACACTGGATCCCTGGAAGGTTAGACTTCCGTTGGGCACCTGAGCTGAAGGGTGACCTCTTTAAACTCTAGTCACCTCTGCTGCCATCTTATATGTGCATATGTAGTTGTAGTCATGTGTACACGTTTCTTCCGACTCACGCACATGCCATGAGTGTGGGGAAATGTAAAGGTTGTGACCTTGCAACTCTTGTTTGATAAGTTCCTGTCATGCCCAACGTTGTTCGGCACTTCCGCTCTTTACTTAGTCAATAGCATCACACCAAACTCGCAGGCCTCTTCACCCCCGTCGGTGAGTGAGAGAAAATAGCGATGAAGGTGTTTAAGGTGGCAAGACTCACTCCAGAAACATTCATACTTAACCAGTGAGTCACTCCTGTTCCATACATTTATTGAACCTCAGAGAAATGTCAGCAGATCAAAGATTATTTACATCAAAGTTTCTAGGTAATAAAATCCAGTTATTTCAGGATTTATGTCATGCAGTGAAAGCTTTTTCTGTAAGACAGGAAAGGGAAGGGGGGTGACCCTGAGTGAAGGGATCCCCTCTGATGACATCACCAGGCAAGGGTGCTGCAGTTCCAGGCAAACAGATGGCGTGGGAGTTGTAGTTTATTTGAAACGACGTGGCTCCACAAGAAGCTGGGATGTGGTGGTGACGTCGGTAGAGTCCCTCCCCCCGCTGCCGGGAACAGTCACAGATCATCCCAGAGTGCCAGCTCACCCCTCTCGGCAGCTTCGGTGGTATGGCCCTGCCTCGCTCCAGTGAAGCACATTTTGGGTGATGAGAGGACATGAATCAGAGAGGACAGGGAGAGTAAGACAAGAAGTCCAAAGGCAGAAAGCTCAGTCACTGAGAGGCTACTGAAGGACTCAAATGTGACTTTTTAATCGAAATGTGTTTGGCTGAAGAAGAGGAAATAGTTCATCCTTTCTTGAGGGTTTTCTGAGAGTTTACCTAAAGTACAGGTAAGGAGAATGTTTCCACTGAATTTGATACTGTGATATAGAAATGTAATTATGATTTGAAGCATTTCAAAAATAGAAGTCACTTAATATAGGAAATAAAAATCAGATATCCAGGATTCATAAATTATTGCTGACAAGAAAGAAATATAAATTCAAAATAAGAACTTTTTAAAAGTTAAATAATACTTTTGTATCAAAATGTTTTCCAAAAAGCTATGACCTAAGTCTATTTCCACACAAATTAAACCTAACTTAAAACAAAATGTAACCGTAGACCTCACAGTTTACTCTCATAATGTTAATCCTCGTGTCATCATTAAAAACAACCTCAGGAACAAACTGTGTTTACAACTTCCTTGCCTGCCCTCTCGTTCTTGTTGCTACTGTGCCTGTGAGTTGTTGTTGACATGGCTTTTGAAATAGCTGCGGTCCGAGCGAGTCACCATCTGTCCCCGGGGGTCGCTCAATTTGGGATATCCCACATACGAGCCAGCCGTGATCATGTATATGTCATGTATCACTTTGCAAATGTATACTGGATACGGGTAGCCAGTATTGTCGTATTACTTTCTTCTGGTAAGCACAAGTGTTACCACAGAATGAGCTGTTGCTTGTGTGATTGGTGCATTTTCATGGAAGCAAGTATAGTGTTTTACTGTTTGAAATAGTGCCCTGGCCTATAATTAAAGTACACATTGTGTGTGAATTACACTACTGTACCTGACCTCTGTTTATGTGTTCATGTGCCACAAATGAGTTGTGATGCATTTTCTTTTATTCAACAATCTATCAACAATCTATCTTTTTAAATTTGGGTATTTTTTCCCATGGTTGCACTTTGACTTTCCAAAAAATGAACCTTCAAATAAGAAATGTCAAATTATACTATTTATACTTCTGACATTGTAAACAAAGGTGATTTTTTAATTTTATTTATTTTTTACTGTGGAAGCTTACAGACTGTTTTGAAAGTTGTCGAAGGTAAAGTTACTCTTCATTCCTTCTTTGAAGCACAGCCAGGCCCGAATAATTTGATTCAGTTTGAGTTGAGATGAAATACTGTCCTGCCCCATATAACAAACAAAATACACCAAAAGCGATCATATAAATATGTCCATGATATACAAATTACTTTTTCCTGTGAACCAATTCAGATACTTTGATTGTGCAACATGTAGTCAATCAGTCTGACTTTGCCAGCATGATTCAGCAGCCAGAAGTCAACTTCAAGACAGCTCATCCTCTCCCAGTCCAGCTCTGGGCTTTCAAACTGGCACTGCAGCTCTTCTCTTTGGCTCGCACAGACCAGCTGTTTCAGTGTGTTGGACAGGAGCCGCCCCAGTTCACGTCAGACCATGTGGGCTTGCACTGACGCAACGTGACAGGGGCTTTAGCACTGCAAATTGGCTATTAATAGAGCTGGAGGGGCTGTGTTGCTGGAGCTGAACCTTGGTAAAAAGAATCGTATGCAGAGGGGGGGGGGTTGTGTGTTTGTGTGTGAAGACAAGATGATACAAATAATCTGGAACAGGTTTTGTAGTCACCCTTTGCTCTATGTTTGTATTTATGGTTGGAAATGCGTGAAAACATGGAACTATCTTTCCATCTCTTTCAGATGTTGTTCACACCCAAGGTCCACTTGATGGAAGCCTATATGCCCGGGTCCGCAAGAAAGACTCTCTGGAGGGAGTTGTCACCATCAACGGCCTCCCAGTCCATGAAAACCCCTTGACCAATGCCGAGAACCCATTACAACACCCCAGTCATCCCCTCCAAACCACTGACCAGACCCTTCCTGTGACAGGCCACGCCTCCCTCCCTGCCGTCGATCACACCTTATCCGTGAGCAGCGACTCAGGCAACTCCACCGCATCCATCAAGACTGATCGTACTGATGAGCACAGCCAGTCCGTGCAGGGTGCCGTGAACCACAACAACCCAACAGCGACCCACCCGTCCCTGAGCCCGCAGGAGAAAAAAGAGCTCGACCAGCTTCTGAGTGGCCTCGAAGCACCAACTCACCAACGACAAGCCTACCTGTCCACGTCCACCAGTCCAGGAGGAGGTGTCCGACACCTGGTCCCAGCGCAGGTGCACGTCAACGGGGGCCATACCAGGCTAGTTGCCGCCCCTTCAACAGAGGAGCGTGAGACAGAAATTCTAGACGACGAGGTGCCCAATAGCCAAGAGGGCAATAGTGTGGACAGCTTGGGCACGCTCTCATCCCTGGAGGGCCAGGCAACACCGGCTGACCTCTACTACCAATCACAGACTCCCAGCAGCAAGCAAAACGACGGACCCTACCTTGAGAGAGTTGTTCTTGGGGAAAAGTTGAGCGAGATGCCCGTGCATGGAGTACAAACGCCCACGGCGATGCAAGAGAGGTCTGTGAACTCTGCATCGCCACAGGGGGGATTCAAGAACTACCAGAACGGAGAAGGGATGTACCGTTCACAGTCTTTTGGGAATCCGCCAGCCGGCAGCCCTGAGACCAACCCGAAGCTGATGCCCAGGGCCCCAGAGAGGAGCACCAGTAGCCGGGAGGCTGTTCAAAGGGGTCTCAACACCTGGCACCAGTATAGCCTACCAGATGATCCCTTTGGCCCTCCTCTTCAGTCAACCCATAGCTTGCCCCACTTCCCCACCTCAGCCTCGCAGCGGGACATTGAGCAGTCCATTGAGGCACTCAACATGCTCATGCTCGACCTGGACCCAATCAACTCCCACATGTCCAAGTCCCACAGTGCGCCTCCTGGGGAGGACAGCCTCAATTCATCCCAGGCACCCTTCTCGCAGACCCTTGCAAGACCGTCATACCAAGCAGACTCTGCCATCCATGGTTACAACAACTCCGGGTCCGTCAACAACTCCTTTCATCAGCCCCTGTGGGCGACTGGGAGAGCGTTGCCCAACCAGAGCCCCCTCATGGAGTCCCCGGTCTATTCTCCCCAGAGGTCCAACGCCGGCTACCAACACCAAAACACCACCCCAACACACACCCCTGAGCCCTACCTCCACACACACCAAGCAGCCCACCATTACCCCACAGATCCCTCCCCTAATTTCAACCAGCAGGTGCCAGTGAAGCCTGTGAACTCATACCCAGGAGGCGGGCTTTCCCACTCCCCGGACCCGCAGGACTCGTCTCCTTATCCAGGCTACAGTGCCTCTTCCTCTCCTCTCCCCGCACTCACCCCCCAGCCAAAAGACACGTCTTCTTCATCCTTGCCCAAAGAACAAGATGCAGAGGAGGAGACGCTTAACTTGGAGGGCCTGGTAGCTCACCGCATTGCCGGTAAGGCTCCGAGTTATGTCTGAAATCAGCAGGATGAACAGCAGATTGCCATGCAACAATAATACTTTCACAACAGATGCATGTTGGTTAGTTACAAATCTAAAACAGGTCTCAGGTCAGGTATATTTTCTTGCCATTATGAAATGAATGGAAATGAATTAGGATCTATGGCAGTGCAATATGCTTTGAAAGTAATCTGCAGCTATTGTTTCATAAATTAGGCTTTAAATCATTTGAGGCAAAATGTGTGCATCCAAAATGCTGACAAGGCTGACTGGATTGGACACTATACTGTATTATGAGTTCATTTTGTTAAGTGTCAACTTCAGCTGGAGGCACTTTTAGTCTCAAGCACCATGTAGCACATGAGCAGTGCGGCTTTCAGCAGTTTCTGTTACCGATTCATCATGGGGTGCCGCACCAGAGGAATGACCTGTAGTCATAAAATTAGCTCTGCAGCTGAAATGCAGCAGAGCAGACTCTGGTGAGAGTGGAGATGGGATGAGAGTAAGAATAACCGAGCGTTCAGAGGCTTCAGCTTCCATGCATTGTCTGCATCCATATTTTCATTTATGTGAAACCATGTGGATGCTCCCAGGTGCCACCCAGTGGAAGAAATCATCTAATTCTGAACCACTTTTAAACATGAAATAATCATCAACCCTACAGTAATGAAAATCAATTAATTGGACAATGCACAAGTTATCACCTCATTTGACAGATTTCTTTTCATTTTCTCTTCACTTTCATCAGATCCATTTCTGTTCTGATATTTCTTCTCCTTTTCTGTTCAATCCATCTCTCTGCTGTATGGACAACCCTTCCCACCATTTGCTCCCACCACTGCACCTCTCCCACCTTCCTCCTCCACCTTCCTCCTCCACCTCCTGCCCTCCATCCACCACCCTGACCTCCCTCCCCTGGCGAACAGAGTACAACGCTCGTATTCGGGGCATCAGTGAAAGCATGACATCGCAACAATCTGACCGTCATCGCTCCTTTTCCTTCTCTGGTGTGTCCACTTTCCCTCGCTTTTATTTTCCTTCGCTGATTTTTTCAGATTATTTTAACATCTCTTCTCATCAATTCCTGTTTCTTCTCTATTTCCACTGCTTTTTTTATTCCTTTCACTTCTTGATATACTTATTCTCTCTCTCTGTCTCTCTGTCTCTGTCTCTCTCTCTCTCTCTCTCTCTCTCTCTCTCTCTCTCTCTCTCTCTCGATAAAGGCAGGTTTGTATTAAGTCCAGGCTTTACTTTTAAAAGTGGAGAATAAACCTACACATCATCTAATTACATGAAAAATGTCATAAAGAAGCTGAGTTTAAAAGAACATTGGTCTATATTTAACCAGTGTCCCTCGCTGGTTGTCCGACGTCGACCCGTCTCCTGCGTCACTTCTGGGGTCATTCTGAGGGCTGCTTTTTAAAAATATACCTAGCGAGTTGAAATTCCACTCTTGTTTTTTTTTATTCAGGGGTTCGATCCAGAGGAATGACCCCAGAAGTGATGCAGGAGACGGGTCGACGTCGGACAACCAGTGAGGGACAGTACCAGAGCAGCCATGATAACACGCCGATGGTGGATTCGCCGGACTTCGCCCACAATCTGGCCCTCAACCCGGGAAGACGTCCCAGAGAGGTCAGCATTTTGTTTTGTGAAAAACAATATTGGACACATTTTTACAAAAAAAGAATAAACAGTATATTTGTACTTTGACCTAACTTTCACATGACCTACAAGTGGAAGATGTCTAAATCCCTTTTCTGGTACATGTGTGTACACCTGACCCCTCTTCATCTCTTCCAGGGTCCCATGCACAGCTACCGGGAGGCGTTTGAGGATGACGATGCGGACGGGTTTGACAACAGTCCCGCCTTTGGAGGCGGTGGTGAGAATTCCCCCCAGACCCCAAGCTTCCCTGTGTCGCCACAGACTCCTTACTTCAACATGTGTAGGTTCACCCAGCCTGCAGACAGGGGGCGCTCTCCAACCCTCTAAACACTGACCTTTGACCTGATTTACTCTCTTTTGTCTTATTTTTAATTATCAAAAAAATGATTTACTTATGAAAAGATAAAAAAGGAAAAACCAGGAAATAATTACATAATGAAATCAACAAAAGTAATGTTTTTTATTTTTATTTGATTGATCATTTTATTAAGTTTATTTTTTATCTAACCGTAGTTTGGTTGGACAAGTAAATATGTACCTGAGAGAGAAAACTAGTGTAACAAAAAACAAATAAACCAGGACAGTAACAATACTGCAAATAAATTTCACAAGTTAAACTCTCAGCAGCAGATGAAATGGAGTCTCTCCTCACATTCACGAGCCTCCAATTCACTTACTTTAACATCTGCAGTCGCATCGCTTAATTAATGACAATCTTGCTGATCATGTGCTGCAATATTCACTCCTTAATTTCCTGTATTATGAGCGTGAACCGCCATTGTCTCCACTGCTAATGCCTTGCCCAGAAAAATGTGGACACCCCCCTCCGAGCATATCTATTACTGACAGGAGCCAGGTCCGTGTTATTTTCGACATTGTGAGGTTCAGGAAAAGTGAAAGGAGAGGCCACACACGCCAAATCAAATATATTACTCCTTCAAACCAAAGTCCTTGAGACATATTAGATTTCCAGACACCCGGTCGGTTACAGCGCCAACCACAGTGATCAGCAGGTTGTTTGACAGATTGTGTATAGACTGTGAGGTTGGCCTCCTCTCCTGCAGTCGGTCCTGAACGCACACAGCTGTTGCAGTAAGAATCTGCTCCGTGGCACAAACCTTCATATCTACGCCACCTCACCCCTCTCCATGCCACCTTAAGTGAGCAATCCCGGTCATGCTGTTGAGCTGGAGTCTTGTGTATCATCACAATCTAATACGGATCCGATCTCCGTTTGCGTCGCAGCATGCTATTAATCTTTTCATGACTGAATACTTGCGTTGTGGATCGATGGCTCATGGCTCATTTTCAGCTACAGTGTCATAATTTGTCATTTTAAGAAAACTGTCACAATCTAAACAACACGCCACCATATGCATATCCATTATTCTTATTCTACTTGTCCTGGAGTGGAAGTAGGCTCACCTCAGTGCTTGTTGACCATTTAATAAGATACTTAATTTTAATTGTGCGCCGTGTGCAACCGAGTGTCCCTCAAACATCCACCATCTAATGCATTTTCACGTAGCATTGCATTGATGCTAAAGTGAAGAATTGTGTCTTTTCATGCCTTACATTGGTTGTTTTACATCCTTGCATGGCTTGTATGTGCAATTCTCATACTCATTGTCCTCGTTGTTGGTTATGATTAATAGTTATAGTCCTTTACATCCCTGTCTTTTCCCCTGCAGCTCGCTCTCCTCCAGGTTTAACCAAGACTCCTCTGTCAGCTCTGGGACTGAAGCCTCATCACCAGGGCGGATCAGGTCAGTTTACACCCATCAAATATAATATATTCATCTTTGTTCGAGTAAATTTCCTGTTCATTTGATTATTCTAACAACATTAAAGCTACTTAAGAGGATCAAAAGGTGGAATAGAAAACATTAAGAAGCTTTTGTAACTCCTGGAAATGCTTCCACTAAATGCTAACAGCTAACACAAACCCAGTTTTGCTTTGCGCTCAAACATGTCCTCCTCTTCTTCCACACATCTCCTTTTCTCTGGCTGTCTATCTTTTCCTGCTGTCAGACTCTGATTCCAATGATGGAGAGCAAGGTAAGGACATTTCTGCGGCAATATACTGTATGCGTCTCCTGTCACTCCAACTTTTTTCTTTGGGTCCGACGTCAGATAACTGCATCCCATTTGGTTCTGGATAAAACATATGAAATGACACACATAGTTGATACTGACTATGTTTGTTTCTGTGATGCTTTGTGATATTCAGATAATCGCAGTTTTGGGGACTGCAGAGCACAACCATTCAACGTTCCTTTCTCCTCCAGCAGTCCCGTCCACAGCGCTGATGGGTGAGTGGGACATGTAGTTTCAATAGCAGCAGCAAGTTTAAAACGATCCCCTAATCAACCAGAATACTAATCAATAGCCAATCTGCATATCAATAGTTCCTTATGATCAGATCAGACACTCAGATATGTATTGTATATTGTGATACTGTAGTAAATGACAGTTAAGGTGTCGACCATTGATACGAAACACAGATGGAAAAATAATAGTTATGTCTTCTTCTTTTGCTTGCAGAAGGAGGATTGGTTGTTCTCCGCACAGTCCCATCCCCTCCTACCCTTACAGACCCACCTCCCCCGAGGGCTCCCAGGTCAACATCATGGGGGTCCACACCGTCCCCGGCAGCCCCAACACCCTCCACCGCACAGTGGCCACCAACACGCCGCCGAGCCCCGCCCTGCAGAGACGCCTGGGTCAAGCCAGCCCCTCATTGGGCAGACACCCTACTCCAGCAGGCGTCCCTTCCAGCCCTCTGATTGGCCGAAACCCTCAAACAGCAGCAGCTGGCGTGCCCCCCAGCCCCCTGATGGGGCGCCGCACGGCGGCAAGCGGCCACAGCACACCTGACGAGCTGGGGGCCGCTTCCCGTCAGGGGAGCGCCCAACCGCCCTCCACGCCTGCCTTCCCCGTCTCCCCACAGCTGCCGGAGAAGAGGCACATGTCCAGCGGAGACGCTGAGAGGACGGACAACAAGAACCTGACGCCGGCCAGCGGTGGCAGCACACCAAACCTGTCTGGCACACACACACTCCCAGACGTCTCAAAGTCCATATACGGTGATACGAAGAAACATGACATGGTAGTTTACCTCTCGGAATGTTTGTGTCCTCTCCAGTTATCATGTCCTTGTCTCTTTGGTCCAAACAGATGGTTATCCAGACATTAAGATGAACGTCAAGTTCGTCCAGGACACCTCCAAGTTCTGGTACAAGCCAGACATCACCAGAGAGCAGGGTGAGAGTCAGATATATCTCTTCATCGCCTTTATATCCTCCTCATTTTGTTTTCTTCTGTTCATCTCCCTTTCTGATCTTCTCATCCTCCTGTTTCTTCTTCCTCTTTTCTGCTCCTTGGCCTCTTCAGCCATCAATGTGCTGAAGGACAGGGAGCCCGGGGCGTTCATCATAAGGGACAGCCATTCCTTCAGAGGAGCCTACGGTTTGGCCATGAAGGTGGCCTGCCCGCCACCAACCATCCAACAGACCAAAAAAGGTAAAGAAACAAACTTTGGCAACGTGAAAGTTTTATTTTGAAGCAGAATATCAGATTTTTGAGGTAAGAACTGATCTTTTCACAAACAATGTTTTCCAGTTGGTGACATGACTAATGAGCTGGTGAGGCACTTCCTGATTGAGACGAGCCCCAAAGGCGTCCGTCTGAAGGGTTGTCCCAATGAACCCTACTTTGGTGAGTTTATTGCCCGGTCTTGAAGATCGGCGTTTGATATCAAAGTGATCAAGTTGAATAGAGAGATTATTTTGTGTTTGTAGGTTGCCTTTCTGCTCTGGTGTACCAACACTCGATGACTCCGCTGGCTCTGCCCTGTAAGCTGATGATCCCCGCCAAAGGTCAGCGTTACCCTCTTATCTATAAGAATGTTACTGCTGTTTATTGCAATTTAAACAGCCGTCTGTTTCTTGTAGTCTGTGTCGCAAAGTTGTTTTCTGACATAATTAATTCATTTTCTTCTCGATTCTATTCTGTCACTCACAGACCCAAATGAAGAGGCTTTGGAGCTCGCCACACCTATTGATCCAGCTGTTGAACTTCTGAAGCAGGGAGCAGGTAAGCTCCTCTGTAATTCACCTGTGGAGAGATTTCGTCACAGGTTTTTACGCTGTAGAGTCTCAAAGTGTCACTGATCACCGATATAGCTTCCATCACGCCAAAATGCAACCATTACTATTGTTTAAATGGGGCCGAATGAAATAGTAATGCAGGAGCTCGAGTACTAAGTATGAAAGTGACACAAAAATATGACAATAAACGATCTGTGGAAAAACAGAATTGAAATTCTAAACCCACTTTTATGGATTCAACATCAAACCTTTCATTAATCAGTTCATTCGCTCACTCATTGTCACCCTTACCTTACAGTTCAGAAGGTTGCTGAGGAGGCCCATGGTAAATGCTGGTTTGCATTGCTCCGCTCCATCATGCACGCTGACTGAATGTGAATGCGGTGATGCCTGCTCTCACACAAACCAATGCTTTCATGAAGTCATTCACTCCATTTTTATTTGCATCTGAAAATGATCCACCAAATTAAATTTGAAATGCATGCACGATACATTGAGAGTCACAGATCGTCATGTTGTGAAGTGCATGAAAAACGTAACTACACAACAGTCTTTATTGTCAGCTTTTCAAACACTCCTCACTGCATCTGCTGTCCCCCCACATTGAGCTGCATGCACATGGTTTTCCTCTTGTATTTATGTAACAGTGCCTCTGTGTTGTTATCCTCTAGCGTGCAATGTTCTCTACATCAACTCCGTGGACATGGAGTCTCTCACGGGTCCTCAGGCCATTGCCAAGGCGATCAGTCAGACACTGGCGACCAACCCTCTGCCTGCCGCGACCACCGTGCACTTCAAAGTGTCCACACAGGGCATCACGCTCACCGACAGTCAGAGGAAGTGAGTCGACACCTGCAGAAACCAGAAGCTCTGACTTAAAGATGCAAGATTAATTTATTACCATGTCAATGACACATTGATTGGAATTTGTCTTGGTGTGTGTTGGGAGAAAATGAAAACAATACAATAGATCAGCATGGAGAAATCTTTCATTCAACGTTCTCCTATATTTAAACTCTATTAGAAAACAAGATTTTAGAAAAAGATGAAATTGGCAAAAAATCTGTGAACCTCATAGGGCTGTCCTCGACCAAAGATATACTTTGTCGGTGAACACTAAAACTGAGTTCCTTCACAGAGGGTCACACAAAAGCATCACTTCGAATCTTGTGTTTACTGTAGATGTGCTCATGAAATGGAAATTATTCATTCAGCAAGAAAAAGCATCAAAAGACGACTAATCGACGAAAGAAATCTTAGTCGACGACGACCAAAACAACGGATTAGTCGACTAATTAACTAAGAGGGGCAGCCCTGGAACCTTGTGTCATAATTACCGTGATGATAAAGATATCAAATCATAGAGGAAGATTGCAAAAAAAAGCAGTCTTACTTTGGCGCCCCGAGTGGTGATCTTGAAGAAGACACTGTGGCAAACGGAGTAACTGAAAAGATGCTTCAATCGTGAGAAAATCTTACATATGGAGGCTTTAATGGATTTACACAAGTACACAAATGTATGTGTTGCTGAGTCGTAACAACTATAATGTGTGTGTTCATTTCTCTTGCTGCAGACTTTTCTTCAGGCGACACTATCCCATCAACACGGTAACCTACTGCGACATTGATCCCCAGGACAGAAAGTAAGAAACCTCAAGACCCGTTTCCTTGTCAATAAAAGAAAACTACTCTTTGATTGTTTCATTCAAACATCTTGTTTCCTTTCAATAGATGGGGCAAAGAAGGAGGGGGTTCAGTGAAGTAAGTTTATAGTTAGAATAAATAAATATTTGGTGCAATTTTCTTTATTATTAGGTTATTATGGTGCTATAGGATATCAGAAAAATACTAACTCCAGGTTGTTTTTTTAATCCCTCCAGGCTTTTCGGATTCGTGGCGAGGAAACAAGGAAGCACAACAGACAATGTCAGCCACCTGTTTGCTGAGCTGGACCCAGATCAGCCCGCCTCCGCCATCGTCAGCTTTGCCTCCAAAATGATGAAGCGGTGAAACCCCCAATGTCCGAATGGCAGCGGCCATTTCGAAATCTTCCTTCGTCATTGGTGTCTTTTTCCACCAGGACTCGATGATGTCCTTTTTTTCTGTTTCCTGTTGGTTTGTTTCTGTTTCCCTTCTCTCTATTTTTCTCTCTGCCTTGCTGGTTTGTCTTGACTTTGGACATTTTTGGAAGAGTCTCTACTTGAGGGATTTGGTGTGGAATCCAGAGTGGCTCTAGTGGAAGTGTGGTGTGGAACTGTGAACGTGACAAACATGGAGGCCATTGAAGGGAGGGAATGTACTAACATGGGAACCTGTACTAGGAGAAATGCTAGTTAAAGACTAAAGGAACAACGCTAAGTTCAGTCGAGGAACACGTAAGGACACGTATGTTTCAGGGTTTTCCGTTGTCGATTTTGTTGATTGATTTACCAAAGGTAGTTGCAATACAAGTGCAAGAAAGATGTAGCTATTAAGCCATTATTATTTCCTCTTTTCAAAAGATGAAGTGTTGAACAAAACAAAAAGAAAAAAAAGAAAAATACGGTTTCTTCTTGAACTTGTCTTCAGGAAAAAAGTTGGCCTTGATGGCTTTTAGCAAAACATTGTCTGAAGACCTTATGCATGTTAGCTTGATCTTTAAGCTTGGTTCTTCTACCTTCCACAAAAATCATTGTGAAATCCTTAGAGTGGTCATTTTTCGGGTCTGTTGTGTTTTGGAAAGGGCTCTACAGTGAAACAAAGACTGATCTAAACTGCGCATAGCAAACCAGACTTTAAAAAAAACAAAAGAAAAACGCCACGCTGAGGTCACCGCACCTTGTGTCAATGCACACTTACATCACTTCGACGCCAGGTCCAAGCCTGATCTCTCTCTCTCTCTCTCAAAACTCGCTTATTGGATTCCTGAAATCAGCAAGCTCCTGATAGCATGGCAGTCGGAGAGAGGAAGACTGTTTGTCCACAAGATGGCGCTACCCCTTCAGGCTTGGATCCTCTCCCTAAGCATCACATTGACTTGCCCATCACCAACTGCTTGCAGTAGTGGATCTGTTGATAGACGCTGCCACTGAAACACACTGGAAATCACCAGGGACTGGCCCAATGACCTGGACCTATGCACTGTTCTTTATGCATGTTGTTGTCCCAAATTGCACCCTCCCTCATAGCTACATTCAACATCACTGAAAACATTCTATGCTGTGTGCTAAAAATGACTTAAAAACCTTTAGACAAGTACACTGAGGTTGTATGACTTGTCAAAGACTGCATGAAATAGACAACATTTTTGTACTCTTCTCAGAGTCCTGAAAAGAAGTAGACAACCCATTGTTGAAGTAGTCACATGATGGCGAAAATGCTATATTTTTACTTTCTTTAAGTTTGGTCCATTTGAGCCAGGGTTACCTTTCACTGTATCAAGGACGGACCGGTCTTTGTTTTTCCTTCCACAGTGTCGTCAAAATTTACATTTAGATACCTTTTAGGGCAAAGAAGAAGAAAAAAAGGAGTTTCCACACTGTGCGCAATATGCCTGCTTGTTGAATACACACGCTCAACCATTCACAATAAGCTAAGGAAAATTGATATAAATGTACATAGATATACTACTTTGAAAGGTGACATAGCGAAAAAGTATTTATTTTTGTTGCTTTGGTCCCTCATGATTACTCATATATACATATATTGTACAGTCTAGAAGATTACCTAATGGGTTGAGAAAAACATATATACTTATTTTGGCTAAAGATTTCAAGGTCTGATGATTTTGAAATGTGTTTGAATATATGGTGTACATTACTTTGTACATGTATATGTTTGTTCTCGGCTCGTCATATTTTGTTTTTGTTTTTTCAATTTTGCGTTCTCTCAGAACGAGGAAGGGCATGAATGAGATAGAAGCGTCTGGATTGCATGGACAGAAGCATTTGAGTGTGTTTCAGCAGCAGAAAAGCACTCATAGAAGCAAATGCGTTGTAGCTGGTAGATCCTGTCGATTTCAGAAAAAGGGAAGCACGAAAAAAAAGTTCAGAAGCCAACCTCAAATGCAATATGAAAACAGCTGTATGCACCCATGACAGTTACATTTATAATTTTGCCAAAGATTCAAACACTTCATGCTGCATGTCGCTTTTTACGTTCAACTGCTCCATTTTTGTGTTTCACACTTTACACATCTCGCTCAGCTTTAGCAGCAGATTTAAGAAAGCTCAACCAGCCAGTGTGTGTTATTGGTCGTGTAACTAACACAAGGGGCCCTTGGGTTTAAACAGCGAGACATTCAGCTGCAGATTACTTTTTTTATCAATTTGTTTTTACTGGTGTCTCAATGCTCTAAAAATGTGCAAACCTCCATCGGCTGTTCAAGAGAGAACAGGTCCGCTTTGCCCCAGTTGGAAGTGTGGAAACAAAGCACTTACATTTCACAATACCAAAAGACGAAATTCCACATGGGTGTCGTTGCTGGAGGTAAATGAAGTTCGACGTGTCTCACCGCGATGCTAAAGCTCCACAGCTGCAGCTCCGTCAGACTGCCAAAGGTGTCTTCTCTCGAAAAGTGATTACTGATTTATTTATTCTTATTTATTCATTTTTTTTTTTTCCTGACATGTTTAAAAAAATCTTGTTTCATTGTCGCATCATTGCAGTTTTAACGGTCAGTGTTAACGAATGGAGGAATGTATGGTGGCGCTTTATTAGGAGCAAAGAGGTACATTGCACTTAAATCGACTACTAACAAGCTTTGTTCCGTTTTTAGTCATTTTGAGGAAAAAAAAGTTCTCTAAATTAAAAAAAAAAAAAAAAAAAGAATCTGATATTGCATTTTACCTGTTGGCTTTGAGTCAAGAGTTACCTGGTTTCAGTGAAAAAGAAGAGATTTGTGACCCCTTTGTACAGCTGGGACTTGTTGGATGAATGTGATACTATGAATGTACAAAAGGGTCTCGGATTTTGTTTGCGCTTATCATTTACATTATATTGTCATGGCTTACCTGTTCCTAAGGAGAAAAAAAAAAACATTAAAGCAATACAAATGAGTTACATTCAAGCTATGTGGGTGTTTTGTGACTTGATAAATAGGTTTTATAGCAGTCTTGATTAATGATTTTACTGCATTTGACAGCATTCCTTTGTTCTCCAAACATCAACCTCAATCATTCAGCCTCTCTGTCAGGTGTGCAGCTCCTGGCTGAACCTCTTTAGGTTCAATATGGAACACCTTGGGGAAGTTTATTTAAGGAGCTGCTGCCTCTCAACAGACGTGTGTGTGTGTGTGTGTGTGTGTGT